CTGTATTTTCATTCAAAAATGAATTCTACAAAATAATATCTATCATTTATTTCGTAATTTTATCAAATTCGGTGATGACTGTTGATGCCACGGAAAGTTTTTTCGTCAGGTCTATTGCGTCTAATTCCTCTAGAAATAATAATGATACGACCAGTGGTAAGTGGAATATGGCGATATCAAGTTGATTTGTGTGAATGTGAATCTCCCCAAAAATTGAATGCAGTTATATATAATTTATTAAAATCATAATAGGTACAAATATAACATTACCGATACTTGTTAACCCCTCTGCAGGATCCTCATCACTTAGTATCTTATTAGGAGGAATATTGATATTAAGTGGAATTCTAGTGTGTCTTTTGTTTATGAAGTATATTAAAATTGCAGGCTCAATCATTGGATTCTATGTATGGGGTAAGTTTAACGTGGTTCGTTGTTTCGACGATGGAATAATTTATGCTTTTATATTCATAGGTTCTTTGGCGTGGATACTAATGGCAAATTCGGAACAACCATATCCTGGCTACGGGGATAATAGGGATTATTTATATTTTTCGGTGCCAATTTTTATTGGTATACTGGGAATGTGCATGTTTTTTTATTTTAAACGAATGGGATTATATTTTGTTGGAGGTGAGTTTCAACAAAGAGGAAATCTAGTATTAGCGATAAGTTTTATTAAGAAAAATGTTTCTGTAGCATTAGGAGGATATGCATTTGGCATAACATTGATGAGCTTTAAAGGTATGTACTTTAATACTTTACTCTTCATCAATTCGTCTATTCTATTAACTCCATGTTTTTTTCTAATCAAATAGATAGTGGGTTTCTTCCATCACACGGACTACAACTCGCATTTATGTCATTATTTGGAACGATTGGTTTTGCTATCATGTTTTTATTTAAAGACAACGAGCGGATCTGGCCTCTGGTATTCCATAATTTATTACGATTTAATTTATCCTTATATCGTTGGTTCTAAGATTGTTCATTTTTTTTTTTGCTAACAAAAGGCACTGACATCTTCTTTCTGCGGAGCCTATTCCATAATTCTGGGGGTGGATCAATTTCTAAATTTCGGTTTCACTGCAGCCCCGGTGGCATTCGTAGATTTCAATCTACAACATGCAAAACTATTACGATATAATGTTAACGGAAAAGTCTATGGATTATTGGGTAGTATATTCGTGTTAGCGTGAGTATTACTTTGGATTCAATCTTTAGTTTTGATTTAAACTCCATATGATGTTAATGAGTCCTCTCATACGTACACAGAGCAATAGGATTCTATGTTCAATTCAAAATAGTATTCGACTACCTTCAATCTGGTAGTCAAAATCCTACCGACTATGGGATGAGAGATGACCTAGAGAAGATTACTTACGAAAAGAAACAAGCTGCAAAAATGATGCCTATCTTGAACTCGGTAGGACACAACACCTATCAGCAAAGCATGCAAGAAAAACGGTTCGAAGACGACGACGATTACTTAATTAGACAGTCACAAATTTTGTATCCTACGTATCCGCAAAGAAACGGAGGGAATACTAATATAGTGAAGATGAATAGAGAAGATAAATATGGTGGAAAGATTTAAGAATAGTTAACACAATATTACAGTATCTCATTTAATAGGTCTCAATTTGATACTCTAATAAATTCCAAAAAAGCACATATTATTAAATATTGT